GAACCATAGTGACGCTTCAGCCTACATTCAATGTGGGAGTTCACATAAAGAAACATTTAGCTCATCCACACTGCAATTCCTATTCATCTCTACAGGATAGAACTATAACTTATCTACATATTTTCAAAAGTTCTTCCAGTAGTCTTCACAATGTATCCAGCAAATCAAAGCCCTTACATGTAATTGCTTAAGGTATATCATATACTTTTCATTAAAATTTTCAAGCACAAAATAAAACTTCCAGCAAAATTCATTTAAACAAAATTACAGGTTTTATTAGTGCTACACTTTTTCTCTAAACTCCACAATAAAGTAAATTGATCAATCAATTATTGTATCTATCTTGACTGACATGAGCGCTATACAAGAACCCACTATTATTATTATTATTATTATCTAACCTTTTCCACTGACCTTTTGATGTCGTCGATCAACTTGTTCTTTTCCTGGACGACCCTCTTGTGATGCATTCGATGGAAGTCCCTCTCCTTGCGTAACTTCACATAAGTCTCCTTGGCTTTCCTATTTAAAGACAAGAAAATATTAACGAATTAACATGTTGTATGAAACAGCAACATGAAGTAGGGAAAGGTCACTAGACCTAAGTATGGTCTTTGCCTTCGGGATAATAACTTCCTTTATCAGAAAAATGTCTTGAGATTGCTTTCCAAAAAGTTAATGAAATGGCTATTACTTTAACAAAAATTATGATCGTTCATAACATAAGATCAAATGAAAAGGAATAGCTTTGTATTTGTTTAAGTACTTGGATCTCGCTATCACTCATCATCAGTGCTTATGTACTTCACAAATATCAAATCACAAAATATGATAATTTATTACTTAAAATAGAACCATTTAGACCCCCTCCTGTGCCACAAGGATTCTTAACAGTCCTCATAAATGCACTGAAATTTTGACTCATAAGGCTTAAATAAACTTCAAGATAGGGGTACCTGTTTTTGTTTCAAGAGGAGAAATGTAACTATATTTTAGTCACAACATATTGTTTGACACTAAAATTCTTATGCAGGATTTGCTATCCTGGATGGCAAAGAATTGGTTGAATCCAAGAATGAAGAGTTTTTCAACTTACATGGCAGCATCCCTGAACCTGTCCACATCAGTACGGAGAAACTTGACCTGATTATCGAGCTGTTGATTGCGGCAGTAGATGTCAGGTACAGTGCCAACGTCCTCCTCATTCATCAGACCACGTTGCTGGAGCTCATACCTGGGGGTAGGATAAGAACCACGATGAGAAGGTTACTCAGTGTCAAAGACATGATTCTTGGACAATATAAGAGTACACAAAGACACTACTTCTAGTAAACAGTTGGATGGCTCAAGTCTCTCTCCCCTTCTCTCTCTTTCTCTCTCTCTCTCTCTCTCTCTCTCTTTCACTTTCTCTCTTTCTCTCTCTCTCTTTCTCTCTCTCTCTCTCTCTCTCTCTCCCTCTAACTAGTTTTCCACAAGCATGAATCCTGCTGGTATTCATTCTCTTTCTCCATTCTTTCCCAATCATTCAAATTTAAACACAAGCAGAAAAATATTCAACTAGAGACATAAAAAGTTATGAACACAGAGAAACTAATTCCAAGAAATTCCAATAATCCAATCTTCTTTCAAAGGTAGGATTTCATTCACTCTGGAAGACAAGTATGACAAATTTCAAATTTTAAGTATTGACCCCCAAAATCCAGGTTCTAATTACGAATTGTCATGAAGTTCAAAGGGGTTATAGATATTCACTAGCATAGAAACTGATGTAATCTCTGATTGATTGATAATACTTACCATTCTGTTTGGAAGCAATCCAAGGTACGACTCATTCCCATCTTAACCAGGAAATTACGGACAAAGTCATCAACGACCTCTGGCCTCTGAGTGACAGGTGGAGGAATGAGACCTTCCTTTCTCTTCTAATCATCATACAAGAATGAGGAGAGAAGGGTGAAAGGATAAACGTGATAAGCAAAGTAACATTAGAATGCTGTCAAGTTTCACCACTAGCACATACACATAGGTGCATTGTTATACCTGCATACATTACATGTTTACTTTCCGATCAAACCCAAGTGAAATTCTGAGACATTAACTAATCCTGATTTTTCTGAAGAAGTCTAGCTTTATAGATTGGAATCAAATCTTTTATTCCATTGAATAATTTATTCATTCATTATAAGGGTTAATACAGGGGCCACTCTGTTCCAGTAGGTAATGAGTCATATGAGATCATCAGGGAAGGATTTCGGCTACCGGTATCTTAGAAAAGCATTTCTTCCCTTCATACCCTCAGAGGCTCTATTATCAAAATCAAAATTACTCCTGAGTGTACACAAATATAGATCTTATGTGATTATTCACTCACATTAATCCTCAAGCAACACCTACAAAAGTATATGTATATCTAACCCAAAAGAAACCTCAACTTACAGCTGCTTCCTGGTCTTCCTGTGCTTCCTGGATAGTACGCACAGCATTGTTAAGATCCTCATCAATTTCTGCAGAAAGAATGATTATGAAAATCCATTAATTAATTAATAAAAATCAGTAAGAACTTACGATTTTCAAAATTTCAGCAAGTCTTATTTTGTTTATTACTTACACAACATCAATGTGCTCCAGTTTTTACAATCTTCTTTCATGAATAAATACAAACACTTTTTTTGTAAATGTCTGTCACTACCAAGTTTAATACATGAAGTGAATTCAATTTTTGCAACTCATGTTACTACCGGTACTACTATGAAAGCTGTATAAGTCACATGTTATTAAAAGTGAAAAATTAAACTATCTTTTCTGACACATTAATGAATAAAAATCCATATCAAACTTTAAACTTCTACCCCTCCAAAAAGAAAAAGAAATTTGGAAACCTAGCATATCTCACCTTTAATATAATAAAGTCTAATATTGAAACAGCATTTACATGTATGTATAGTAAATACAGCACTCCTGAAGTTTAGATATTAATGCAGCTCTAAATATTTATGCAGCTTTAGAGATTCATGCAGCTTCAATGAATTTTAATAATTATTCATCTCACTGTAAGCAAAGAGGTACTAACATTTAGCAAAATATATCCTGTTTGATTGCCAACTTACCAGAGACTAAATCGTCATCAATAGGGATCTCCTCATATTGGAACTCATCATCAGAATCCTCAGTGATTGTGGCACCTGGCAAATATGGTCATTAAGGAACATCTAAAAGTACCTCATCATCAAACTGTATACTTGTCTTTGTATCATAAGTAAACATGTCAAAGTTCTAGGATGGATGCATAACAAACTGTCAACGGTTAGGTTTGGATTTAGTAGATCTAGACTAGACCCAGACTCTTTACCGGTAGACCCTATCTTGTTTTTTATTCATTTTTTAAAATGTTTGTTTAATATCTTTTTTCCCCCTTTCAATTTTGCAACTAGATGATAAGAGCATGCAACAAATTATCTTTTTTTCTTTATTTTCATTCATTTATTTATCTAGAAAAGTCTATTAGTTTATTTATCAATTTTTTAAATTTTAATTAGATCTAGATCTAGATCTAGATAGATCTGGATCTAGATCTAATATTGGTCGTTACAATACAACTTGTTTTGGAGTCCATAAAACTGACAGGACAGAATAGGGTGATTTCCACACATGAACTATCATATTTCTGAAACTAAACACACACACACACACATATGCTCATACTGTACTGACTACCGGTACTTACTGTCTCTAGTGAGAACACCACCACACACAAAATTACGAAGAGCATGAACCAGAGTCAGAGACAGTTATTTGTTATCATACAAAAATTGATAAAAAGTTAAAGGCGTAAATATTCTTGAAGAATGAACGCCAATAGCACTAAACGACAACAGCAAAAGTCTGATCACTATCTTCTTCTTCCTCCTACAGTCCTACTAACACTACTATTAGTATTTCAAGTTCAAAGTTGTCGGAGATCAACACCACCAAGCTGCCTGCATTGAGACACAATTATCAGTACACGGGACTACCCTTCAAAATTAATTGGCGATTACTAGTCATGCATGCGAGTAATTTTCATTAATTTGATTCAATATTCAGTGATTTCCATTATTTATGAGTAAGGTAATTTTTAAACAATAAAAGTATAGACACAAATCATCATTAAAGGATACGTTCTAGGAAATAAGCGCCTTCTTCTCCGATTCTTTCACCAGACGAAGCCATGGTTGTTGATAGTTGTTGCTACGATCACAGCGCATGCGCGCGCAGAGATGAGCTTGCGGCTAGCTAGGCTCCGATGTTGATCTACTAAAAAATTCTGACACTCCGACTCTAGGTCGCAACTCTTTTCCCAGATCCAACTTAGAGTTAGAAGCAAGTCCCGAAGTTTTAATCATTCTCCTTCTCCTTATTCTCCTCCTTTAATTCTTATCCTATTTTTCACTTTTATTCTTTTATACTACCACTTTTTATATCACTGCACCTCCACAAAAAGTTCTTCTGAGTTAAAAAGAGTGAGAGAAATAGGCCAGTGAAAGATAGCTGAAAGTTATAAATACATGACAAAAAAGAATATACTCACGATTTTTTTCAAAGTTCAGAGCAAAGAATGTGTCTGGCCATGTGTGATGTAATTATTTTGTGGACTGCTTTATTTGGATCTTCAGATAATTCACTCAATCTAATCTATTTCGAAAGTGAAAAGATACTGTATTCTTCCTGATATCAATTTTTATTTTTTTATTTTTTATTTTTTCCCTCTCTACCCAGTATGTATCTTCTTCAATATCTACTGTGTTTGCTTTGCACCAGAACATGAACAGTTCTTGCTCACTTTTGGTGCCAATCCATTTAATGTGGTTCTTTAAAGTTTAATATTCTAGCAGAAATTGTGAACAAAATGTATTTTCATTATGGGTAAAGGTGCTTTAATTGCTGACCCAGGTGCGATATACAATTCAAAATTCAATACTAACACGCCTGCATGCAAAAAAAAAGATATCATATTCCGTAAATTCAATGGGTATTCATATATGTTTTAATATATTCAATAAATTCTTGTGAATGATAGAGTTTAATAATATACTGTACACATAGTACTAATGATTCTATCATGAATACATGGAATATCAGAACTCATAAAACTCAAGGTGATTATTAAAGGTTACTTGAACAAAATCACAATATCATCTACAATATTTACACACCCATAATAACACATTTTACTACAGATTGAAGATCTAAAAGATAAAAGGGTCATTAGACCAAAGGTCAACAAAACTTATGTGTTGAACCTTTAGTCTATACAGTCATGTAGCTGATGTTTTATGGGAGGGAGGGAGGGGGGGGGGTCAGAAACATTCCAAACAATTGGCTTGTGAGACCAAATCTTGTGTGCAGTCAATCTCTTGGGCCTTTAGGGCCAATCTGGTCATGTTAAACCTATGTTTATCTTAAAGTCAAGTCCTTGCATCTATTGATGTACCTAGGGACAGGCTTTGAACTCTACCTGTAAAATTGTTTCTCTAAACCTGGTACAACTGAACCCAAAGATTTGTGTTGGCAGATAAAGTACTTTTCATAATATTGAATTATTTGTATGTAGAATTATCACTCATGTACACCATCAATGTCTTTTTCTCTTCACCAATTCTATCATTCTTTCTACAGAGAACAGCTCATTCTTACTATAAACAGAATCTTTAAAAAAAAAAAGTAAAAGTGAGGAAATTATTTCCAATGATAAATCATGCATGACATACATGTAAATTAGTAACACCTTCAAATCAAAGATAAAAAATACCCTAATTACAAAAAATAGTTGATATACATGTATCTCTATCTAGCAGTACTTTGAGGTTGAACTTAGCACAACCCAATTGGCAATTAATTCATTTATGTTGTAATCAATATTTTCTACAAACTCCAAGCACTAAATAACACACAAACTGCAGACATCATTTAATATAAAGTTGAATTAAATATTAATTAAGCTTTGTTTACACATGATAAAGTAAACTACGGTACCTCAAAAACAAACAAACATCACTGCAAAATAAAACTGTCGAAAGTAATGTGCACATCTGATAACGCCCTGCTAATACACATCAGGAGCTTTCCACTTGCCATTAATTAACACATAAACCAGAGTTTTTATTTGCCATAGTGCTTTTTAGTTGCAGGCCAAAACCCTTGTCAGTTGCCATGTGTAACAGTGTCTGCAATATGAGACTATATTGACAGCATACAACATAGGCTCTCTACTTTAGCCGATTCAAAATCTGGACAATAATTTTAATCTTATTTGACACAGAGACTCACAGAGCTAGACTCTGGTCATGGCTTCATTCATTGTGGTGAAGTGTCTGTTTCTGTGCATGCAGAGTAGTGTTATTTTGTTGTAGTTGTATTAACCTAGGAAAGATTCAACAATTTACATCATACTGGCAAAAAATACCCCAAAAGTGGTTGAAAATGGGTAATTTCTCAACATAATTATCTCCTCATAATAACCTCATGATGGAAGTTAAGGCTAGGAAAGATTTATGGACTAAGCATTACGAATTTTATAAAAAAATAATTGATTACTATTAAAAGCAATGGGGGGAAAATCCATTTGCTGTAGGTTTGTATACAAAGATGACATTAAATTTAGGAGCAAACAAATAAATAAAATATTAAAATATATTATAATAAAGAATTATCTAAATCACTGAAGTACTTCATAAATCCGAAAGAAAGAAAAATAACATCCATGCCGATTTAAATAAAAAAACATGTTTGTGATGGCAAGAGTCAAAATACTAATTAAGGAAATAAAAGTGTAATCACCCTGGTTGTTTTTCACATGAATGTTTTTTAAATTTATTCTCTATATCTTTGTGGTATTTTAAAGTACACTAGACTATTTTTCTTATATTTTCTCATGCAAAAAAAATGGAATATAGACCCCCCCAAAATGTGTAAGCTTCAGAACAAAATATAGATGGAAAAAATATATTCTGGGTTGAAAATAGTCAAACACAAAATTATTCTGTGCTGTTTTTTCACTATTTTCAGACCATTATATGTTGACTTAGGCAGACTTAGGCATTTTCTAATTTGATTGGCAATAAACAGTCACGTACAAGGCCTTTACAGTACAACAGATTACACACCATAAAAAGCTAAATAAACCCAACACTATAATCCCTGTTCACTCTTTCAGCAATTTATACCTGTGTCATTTTTTAAGGAAAAATTCCCTATATGCAGCATTTTAAGATCCTGTTAAGAATGTTTTTTTAATGTAAAAATATATAAACTTTCCATGAATACATACATAGTTTCACAATATAATTAAACAAATTCTAAAAACTTCATATCAACATCTTATGGATGTTTTTATTAAAGGGGTAGGTCCAGAGTAAGCCGAGTAAGATATCTAGGGGAACTACAACAGGGCACTGAAATTACCCTTGAATTGATTTCTTGAAAGGGTATGTTTATTTGATAATCGATATATGAAAGATAACTTTACATTAAAAATTGTATCTGAAAATCTTAACCGTATCTAGTGTGCACTTTCTTCTTTCTTTCTGCTGAGTGTACATTAGATAAATACACTTTATCACAATAATAATTAAGAACAACTTACATGTAAGCAACACAAATAATAAAATTACGTAAATGTTTGATTTACTTACAAAAATATAATATGAATCAAATAATGCAAAAGTTATGTGCTAAATTTTAAAATTTAAAAACAAATAAATTATCTAAAACAATCACTCAACTACACAATTTCATCAGTAGCAAGAAAATGTCCACTCATTGATGTACATTTTGACACCCCTGTTTAAAACTTTAAAAGCCATTTTAATTTTCACACGTGAATAGTGACCGCAAACATGGACTGTCTAAATGTATACAAATAATAATAAATGTTTCTTACAGTTTAAATATATCTAGTGCCTTTCATCATACAAGTAACTGACTATATACATGTACATGTACATGTATAGTGCACACAGTATTTTTATCCAGAAATACTGATGATTGAATAACAAATTGATCATTGGGGGATTCAAATCATCTACCGATTACCATCAAAAGTGGGTGTAATAATTTAAAAGTCCTGTATTTCAAGGAGAGGGGGGGGGGGGTAGACAATGGACAGGTTTTACATATTGTGCATATCAGCAACAACTACCCACATGGGGGGGGGGGGCAGATTTCCCAAATAAAACAAACTGCTAGGAATAATATTGTATGCTCTCTGGTAGGATATTCTCTGTGCCGTCCCAAATGACGGTGTTTGTTGCTTTATGTTGGATATGCATGTGCATCAGATGCAGTCTGATATCAGCTAGCTTTGATGCATTGTGCAAAGAAATCCTACTGGTCCATACCAAATTTCTTTCATGTGTTGTTGAACATACAGGAAAGCACTGCTGTTATTATGTCTTCTATATTTAGTGCCTCATACTCATGACAGTCCAAGTTACATTCTAATAGTGCTGATTCTAATATTTGTGGAGATATAAACATGAACATTTGTACACGTAGACTCGTGACAATATTTATAACAGTTTTTTAATACACACAGAAACTTCAACATGTTTTATTTAATTGAACACTGTTTTTCTTCATCTTTTTCCTTTAGCTTTGTTCCCACATGCCATGGTAAATAACAGCGGGAACACAGCCAGAGCAAGATAAATGTACATGTAACATGATTCACTTTCTGACCCCTGCATCTTATAACACTCAGATTACTAAGGATGCATATTACCTTTGTTACGCCCAGATTCACTTCCTCACACCACTCGCCTTTCCAAAAGACAAGCAGTTCACCGCGTCATAAACTGTATGATCGAGCCTTTCAAGGTTTTTTTTCGTTCAGTGAGGAGTATGTTTAGATATAATTCAGCATAAGTACATTGAAAGAATGGAACACAGTTCCACCATTGCATGGGATCCTTGTGATATTTTCTAGTTTGGTCATTAGGTTGCCTTCTGATTCTGTAGATTCCATTCCACCTTGTAAAAAACAATCCCAGGAATTCCACTCATGATCTCTCTACAAATCTCCACAGTAATGTTCATCTCTTTTCCTTTTTTTGTTACAATAGCCTGCAGAATGAACGCTCTGTTTCAATTTGGTACTGCTCACAATTCATACCTACAATGTACAAGTCAGTGTTGTCTGTGTAATAGTATAAATGATGACATCATTCCATCGTTTCGGGGATTTCCCTATCATCAATGACGAGTGAATGGACGAGGCCCTCTCTCCTCTTACCGCTGCTGACTGCTTTGATGTAACAAGCGCGTCCTGACAGCTCAAAATGGGTCTCTGTACCATCCTCCACAAACTCACCCTGGGAAGAGAGAGACAAAGAAAACACAATGCAAGCACTGATCAGGGAAGTATATATGACAGGAGGGAGAGATAGTAGGACAATTTAGACATATGAAGAGGCAAAAGTTGGTAGAGACATCTCTGAAGGCTTGTTAAGATATGGTTTTTAAGTTTCAATAAATGGCAACTGTGTGCAACAAAGGTCCTCTGCGTATTCACTGAGCTCTGTGTTACAAGATACAAAAATGTTTAACGATTTACATTTTACGTCATCATTAAAAAAGCTGCAGTTTTTCTGCATCATATTTGAACAAGCCTTTAGACAGGAAGATGGACAGGCATACAAGACGACTTGACATATCATCAGGCAACTAGATTGTTGCATGTTAGAAACCCACAGGTTGATTAGACATGTTGTATATTACAGGTTTAGAGGAGTAGGCAAACAATTCAATGTGTACATGTATCATTTAAGAGAAAATAAGGAAAAAGTACATTTTAAAGCAAAGGGTGCTTTTTTTAAATGAATGACTGAACATGTAATAAATTGGAGGTTTGGAGGAGTTATATGAAAATGTTTATCAAATAAAATAAAGAAAGGGTACATTTTTAACTTAATGATAAAGTCTATGCAATCCCAATCTCAAGTTGAATCAAGAGGGTTGGGCAAGCCGTATAAACAATCAGATGGACTGACACAAGAATGATGTGAGAATGAGAGTTACATGTATAAAGACATTCATGTTGAGTAGTTATATAAAATATCTTTTATGTGAGGATTTAGAAGAAATTAATTAGCACATGAACAGCTCATGAAAAATTAATGAGAAAGGGTTCGAGTCAGATGCAAAGTACATACAGAGTGTGCAAGCCCATGTAAAGAGAGAGAGAGAGAGATGGGAGGGAGGATGCTACAAAGATTAGCCTGTATTAGTTTTGATATGACTACAAATGTACTACACTATAACATGATGATATATTCTGAAACATGTTTGAAATACATGTATTTACTGTATGGTTTCTTCCATACAACATATTATAATTTTGCAGACTTTCACACATATACGGCAGTTTTGCCTCCGTAAAGCATAATGTCCCTTGATGAGCACTCCTGCAAGCTAATTACTCATTTCACACACCATTGGGCATGCACACATAAAAGCCAGACATATCATTATTTGAATCACTTAACATACTTGTATAGCGCTACAGACATTAAGTTTGAAAATATGTCCATTACGTTATTACATAGTAATGATCAACTAATATCAGAGAGGCATGGCTTTTTAATAAACATCTACCTCTTTCGTTGTATACAGTGTACATACATTTACCCTCCTCTTGGGTAAAACAATCAAAATTAAATTCCTTTGTATGATGACATGTACATGTACATGATTGCCATGACATCAAAAGCTAGTATTCTATAATTGTAAACAAACTACTGCAGCCTCTAACCCTTTTTTAGTCACTATTTCATCCACATACCGGTATTGATATGTTTAGTATTGATTTCAATATCAACTCAAGCCAATTCTGGGATGCTTTCCACAGATATAACAAAGTACCAAACCCATTGTCATATATCAAGGAGCCATTCATTGTCATGTCATGGCTATAAAAATAATTCATTCTAAATTGGCAATTAAACACATCATTTCCTTCTATCATTAGTACATGTACAAGTCTTTTTGAGTATTAGCACATACATATTTTCCTTCTGGTTTACACAAAGATACAGTACATCCCAACCTGGTACATCAATAATTTCTGTCCGGGTTCATTGGTTCAGCAGGGTCCTAATTAGATTAATTATAAAGATGTCTTTTAAAGGTCCCCACAGACATGATTATATCCTCTCCCTAAATTATTAGCAATATTCATAATTTCAGAGACAAAAATAGCATATACTATATATATAGGCATTTATAACCACTCCATCCTGCTAGTGAACTGCTTTTGAATTGAAGATCAAGAAAGCTAAAATAAATATGTCTCTAGCAGACCAGGGTGTGATTATATATTACATTTGATCTATCATTTTGTACCATAGTACCCAAGTAGTCTTGCTCAGATATCTTGATAAATGCAAAGTATAATAGAAAAAATAAAGTACCACAAACGGCACATGTGCTGTACATGTACTCCAGCTTCAGTATCTATTGTTAAGTTTGTGCTAAGTTCAGTATCTATTATAAACAAGGAGTATGAGACATTGTTCATATATTCGAAAATTCCTGTCTTTCATTATCCTTTCCAGGGCCAGATTCCAATAGATTCGACCATTTCTCAAACTAATGCCTCAATGACCATGATGGTTGAACAAAGTGATCAAAAAGACCTTGTCAGAGGTTTGCATTACACCATCACCAAACCGACCTGATTATGGCAATTGAGATAATGTAACTTGTTCAGTCAGGAATCAGCCTTTTTGGTGTGATCAAGATATCACTTGGCAACAGCTATCGCATGCACTCTGCGTCAAGCAGTGTATACAGTGTAGTTTCAAATTTAAAACAGAAATGGGCCATTCCATGGTAACTCGCGTTACACTTAATGGGTACATTGACACGATAATGTGCCTATATCTTTAGAACTGCTAGGATCTACAAGATACTTTTTTCAAACATGGACAGGGTAGATATAGAACAACTGAATGAAACAAAAAAGAAAATTGAAGAACAAACATTTTTAGATTCTTGGATTATTGAATTTCGGTAACTCGCGTTACAAAAAAAGGACATGGTCAATTCTACGAGACCCTCTTTTCTCCTCATACTAGACAATCTTGACAAAATCTTTCCTACTTTAATTTGATAGTAGGTTGTGACTTACTAGTATAAGATCACAATATTAAAGATAAGAAACAATGGACTAGTAAAATGCAGGAAGCAAATATGTCGGTAACTCACGTTACGGTAATTCGCGTTACATTTTGTCCGGAGGCCATTTTCACCCCTATGTAATAGATTAAATATCACAGGACCCCTTAGAATATGGAAATATATTCATCTTTTTCCATTTAGCGAAATTTTCAGGAAAAAATATTACAAGAATCCTGTGTAAACTGCAATAAATTGTTTTTTTTCAGCTACAGTCCCACATGTACGTTTTTGATGATAGTTTGAGATCTTAGGAAATCAACAAAAATGAAAAAAAAATTGTATTGAATTTGAAAGGCCCTAATGTTTTATGAACATCCATGGCATAAGGTTAGTGATAAATCAAAGAATTAACATAAGAGGTACATTTCTTTTTTTGATGTCATGTCCTTCTTCTCATGGAATGGCCCAAATATAGTGTGTACTTACTGCTGTTTCTAGAACATGACCATCACACCAAACTTCCATAGAATCTTTCTCTGCAAAGAATAACAATAAGAAACAATCATATTCATGAAAATGATGTTAAAATTTGTTTACTTGTATTCCAGCACCATATGTTATTAATTATGCATTAAGAGAGAGAGAGAGAGAGAGAGAGAGAGAGAGAGGGGGGGGGGGGAGGGGAGGAGGGGAGGTGGGGAGGAGGGAGAGAAAAAGACAGAGGGGAAAACAGCATACATGTATATAAGCTGTACATTAGATACAACGTAAGCCTGATCAAATAAATTACATTGTTGCAAATGTTGTCGCCAAATGTACTTTAACATGCAGATAATGACAAAGTAACAACAAAAAATGATGTGAACATCAGTATCTTACCAAGAACTATCCTATGTCCAACTCCATCTATCGTTGGTGTCCAGACTTTGCAGGTTCTGCTCCTCTGCTCCACAAACTTCTCCAAGCTCTTGCCTCCAACCTCCAATTGGTACTCGTATGCAAAACCGCTGCATGCATCTATGTTAATGACTGCCCTGGTACCACTTATGGTGAACGTTTCCCTGCCGACCAGCTTGAACATCCAATTCTTCCTGCAAATCTCCTGTAAATTTCGAAAAATTTCTTGATATATTACAATACATGGACAAAAGCAAACACAATCGTCTATATTCATATTGAGTCTATTTAATCTATTCATGGAGTGCCTAATTTGCAAAATTTCTTGATATATTACATGGACAAAAGCAAAAACAATCGCCTACAGTCTACTGTATATTCATATTAAATTAAATCTGGTCTAACTATTTAAATCTATTTCATTTATTCCATGGAGTGCCTTATCTTCCTTGACATTTCCATACATATTACATTCAATAAGCAAACAACTGAACAAAATGAATCAGATAATGACATGAAATAAGCATATTTGATTTTTATATCTATGATTCATTCATCATTTAGCTACACATAATTTGGTAATTTTACGAGAATTAAGATTTGACATTTCTTCACTTAAAGGTACTATGTCCCTTTTGCAGGCCAAAAAAATGAAAAAGTTAAATTCGAACTGCATTTGAAAGATAATACTAATTTAAAACTTCCCTAAAAAAGATGGGGCTTAAAAATGTCTTCAAGTGGGAAAATAACGACCATTAGTTGTCAAATCGACTTTAGGGCTATAGAGCTCAAAAGTAATAGTCTTGATTTTCAGACAATTGTACCGAATGGTCATACGTTTTATGATGCGCAAAGATTCAATCAGTTTAATCTTGGCCATCACAAGAAGTGGGTTATTGATGTAGACAAATGCTCATGTACCCTTTACAACTCTTTTCATGTATGTTATTACCAAAAAGAAAAAAAGCCAGTCAGTCACTCAATAGTGTCTGACAGTGAAGTCTAGCAAGTAAACGGGTTTCCTTGCATAATTTGAATATGAGGACACTGCTAACGTTTAAATTTCACAGATAGGACATACATGACATATTCATAATTCCTGCAAAGTTCTACAGCATTTGAGGTTGGCTGCAAAAGGGACATAGTACCTTTAATAAACCATAGATAAAGACTTACCACAGAGACGAGACCTAAACCTGGACGTCAAAGTTCACCATTTGGTTTGCATGTGGATATCCTCTCCTCCCCCATCCTAAAAACCGTTTCTTACATACCTCTCTACCAGTTTCAATGTAGTTATAGTTATCATCCAGTGACCGAGGTGCTCACTGGATGCAATCTCAGGTCTATACTTTACAAATAGGCACATTCTCCACTCCTCCTGGAGTGGCCTGTTTCACAGTATTTCATGACTGATCTTACTTACAGGAGCAAGTTGGGGATTCTCCTTTAAAGTTCTACATATGTACATGAACCTGTCTTAAGGAAATTAGGCATCTGGTTAGCCATACATATTGTATTTTTTTGTGTTTGGTTTGGTTTAGTTTGCTTACTCAAGTAATAAAATGGTAATGGGTATATACAGGTACATCGGAAAATGAATTCATAAAACAAAGATATTCTGTGGACATCATTACCTTGCCATCTACAAAAATGACCCTCTTTCCGCTCGTAGTCCCATGCTCAAACTGAACCTTGTGAATCCCATCACTTAGAGAAACACTCCACACAGCAACAACGTCAGCCATTTTAAACAAGATTTACCCTGATTCCTGCAGTAAAAAAAAGATCAATGTGACGGACAGTTTTTAGAAATGAGCTAAGACAACATGCAAGCAATGTAAAATTCCCACTAACTACATGTACATTACAGTGTAGTGTTTGCAGACATAAAATATAGAGCATCTCTATATATTTTTCTAGTCCATGACTACAGATGTCAAGATTTCATGAAATAAACATCCACTAGTATGGGGTTAGGATATAGCCCACCACCAGGGAGACCACAATCACTTTCGAGAGAAGAAGTTCAAGCTACTAATCGGACAGTTCCAAATAGATTAAAAGCGTCAGTCTCTTATATACTGTACATGTAGATCGTCGTTCCACTGAGCCGAGACTATGTCTGGTTCCATACACTGTCATACGGCATATCACTTCCACAGCAATTCCTTATCACGACTTCGAACCTGTTATATCTATTCAGAACGCCATTTTAAGGCAACTTTAAGTAAGTCTATGGGCAGCTTAAAATTAAAACTGAAATTTGTTTATAAAACTTATTTCTTAATCTTCAAGCTCTCATTTCACTGTAAAGTTAAAAAAAATCATTGTAAAAACATACAAACTGTTCTTTTAAGGTTTTATGAGACAAATATCATATTTACATACATTGGTCTACCACAGAAAAGTCGCTGAAGTCTGTACCGGTAATTATAGACTCATGAGAATTGACAACAATTATCATGTAGGTATTTCTCAAGATATTTTCCATTTCCAAGCCCAATTTTGATACAACTCATATCACATAAATATATTTGATAAATAAATGTTAAAATTATGAGACATAAAAATATATTTTTTAAAACTATTTTCTTAACTTGTAAAAAATTCAGGGTCTTCTTTCGATGGGGTATTATGAGTTACATGTATGGTATCCTCTTACTTGCAAATTTCCATTCTCTCGTCGCCAAAGCAACCTCAAGTTTCAACTTTATACATTTGTAGATCTAGATCAAGCTAGATCTATCATACACTGTATTATGTTTTCATGCGAATTGGGTGTTTGTATTTTGTGCTACCACTAACTTAGATTTTTGCTTTTTCATCCAGTTTGAGTAAAATTGAGCCTCTTAATCAAATTTGGTAATTCACGATAAAATCAGATGGATCTTGGCAAAGAATATATATTTTTTTAGCTAATAGTCTATCAAAATAATTAATTCATTGCTGCAGATCATGTGGTTTTGTGAAACGGTTTATCCACTTCCTGACATCTCCGTTGCTAGGTCGCCAACAAAGTATACGACTGTCATGGAGTTGGCTTCATAAAACGACCTCCTGGTGTTATCATATGATGGTTCATTAATTTCTGTCAAACTTCTGAGCCTTAAATTTTATCTTTATTCCTTAATCCCTAACATTTAGACCCTAGTCTGCCGCTCGCCACCAACAAATTAACAAATTTCTCTATTGATCAGCTAGCCAATCTTTGTGGACTACACCCCTAGCCCCTAATACTGAAAATTTGATCTATGGTGGATAACCTATCAGCTATCCCATTTTTAGCAACGCGGCGTCTTAAATCCATTGGCAACGGGCGCCGCGGCCTGCTCCATCGCTAGCAACAAACGGAGCCGGCCCAGCCCGGAAGGCGAAGGGTACTGCTTCGGCCCGGGATTGTTCCCAATCAAGTCGCACACTTGCAGAAACCCATCACACACGTACACAGCACGACACGAATAAAAACTGCTCTCTCACATTTTTTTTTACTTGTTACATAAATTTAGAAAGTTAGATCTCATATTCAAATTCACACTGATATAATTAAAATGACACATAACACATACCGTATAATGAATCTTTACTGTGAAAAGACTCTAATTGTGCATCCGATCATTGTAGAACGCTCACAGCGAGACTACCAGTACCACACACTCACTGTATAGAGCTCAGTGAGTAAACAAGACAGCAAATAACATGAACAACATAAAATATTTAACGACGGGCGCGGACCGGGTGGGGGCGGTCCACAGAACTGGATTATACGTTCCAGTACTGTGGGGCGGCCGCGTTAATTGCGAATCTACAATCAAGGGTGTGTTTTTGTTTTGTTTTCTTTTTCTCCATATTTATATGATAATCACTTGCACTGGCGTACTTAGAGGCTTGGAGCTGCTGCCCTCCCCTCAAAAAAAAAAAAAAACTATTCCAAAAGGAGAGAGAAGAGGGAAAAGAAGAAAGGAAAGAAGAAAATGAATGGACAAGGCACTGATGTGCACAAAAATTCAAAGTCTCACTCTTAAATTATTAAAAAGCTCGCTCGGTCACTATACGCTCCTTGCATAAAATGTGTTCACTTTCAAATGAAGTAGATTTGTAAACCGTAAGTACATTAAGGAAGGAGTCGACATCCAAAAAGGATTGTTTCGAAAAAACTGCCTGATATAACCTATTCCCATAAAGAGAAAAGTGTAGACATTATTGAGCATGTTTTAATTGGCTGTGTGATGGAAAGGACTCTTATAAATGCAAAGCCCCAAATAGTACAAATCGTAAAATTTTCTCGATCGTTAGCCCGTATGCAACCTCACAAAGTAAAATGCATAACATACCTATAGGGCATCATTGTAATGTGATTTTTTAAAATAAATACAATAAAGGCGGGGTGTGCCCCCTTTCCCATTTTTTAGACTTTCTTAAAGTTTCACTTTAATTTGTAAAATGAAATTCCTCAAAGAGGGGACAGATGCAGAAGTACACTTCAAAATCCTATGAATTACTACAGACTTACAGAGGGAAACAAAGCACTTATCATTAGGAAAAGGAGGACTTGTCAAAGTATCAGGGGAACTCATCGGAGATGTAAACGGGCACTTATAAATTAAGGTACCTCCTCAATATATCTCCGTCGTGAAAGTCAATATGGGCCGGACTTTGTCTCGCAAAAAAGCGCCCCTTTACCGGAGATTTTAGGAACTGACTCCCCTCGGTCCCTCCGCCACTACATACCGTCTGTTACATACAGAGCCTTGGAGAGTTTTTGAGCAGTGGTGGGGAGGGAGCATGCGAACGACCACTATCATCTCAGTTATCGAAATTTAGGTATTATGAAACGTGTCTACTAAAACAAAAAGGGCAAGGGCGTTTCTAGAGAGGGTGTGGCGGTGTCACCCCCACATTAAGATGATCTAAAAGAAACTGTTGAATTTTGGTCGGACAATCGTCGCCCACTCCCCCCCCCCCCCCTCATTAAAATAGTCTAGCGATGGTTCTAGGATGAGTGATATATGCAAGACAGTGGTAGGACTACAACTTATACTGTTAGCCTTTTCAGAATTGTTAGCCTCATTCCATATTTCTGGTTATTCCTCAGTATAAGATGGTTTGAATTTAAGAACTTCTCAGAACTTTCATCATCGAATGAGATTATAATTTTTTTTTTTTAAATACAAGGAGTGTAATTGACTCAATAAGATAATCCGAAGTCTTGCAATTTCAGATTCAATTGAATACGCTGCTTTTATAGGATAATGTTATTAGACCTCCAGGCTAATATTTTTACCTCTGACATTTTGTGCCTTTGTGACGCTTTTTTTTTTCCTGACGTTTTTTCCTGGTATTGGTGGCATAGATGTGTCCAAACAACGACGGGCGGAAATGATCACAGTCAAACTTAATAATGATTATAATTAATTACGATAATCGATGATTAGATCTTATTTCCCAATATCAATAATAAATGACTGCTCTTCCCGCGGGCCCTGCAACTATCATTACCCCCACGATTGACAGTTATCCAATTAAGACATTTTAGTCTAGAGGCCCTGGGGCAAATGTGGTAAAAATACGTTGTTAAATGTCGTAAGCAAGGTTCAAATATTGCGGGCGCGGTTGTAAGTAAACATTTTGAAGGGGGTAAAGGCTGTGGGTTCTGGCATTTATTTTGTGCACGTACCTGACTTAAATTAATTTCAAAATCAAATTGTTTTTTTTTTAGGGGGAGGCAGGGTGCTTGAGCCACTCCCCGGCAGGCACGTAGCCACGGGGGGGGGGGGGGGGGGGCACGTGCCCCCAACATTTTCCAGGATCGGTTGAAATTTTTTAGACCCCTTGACCTCGATCGATTACATGTATGTGCCCCCCCCCCCCCCACCCCCAACATCAAACTCTGGCAACGTGCCTGCTCCCCGGAACCGCTTTCAAGAACCGGGACCTCTGGCATGAGACTCAAGAGCTTCCATTAACTATTCCGTAAGTGGGACTTTGAGGGCTTTAGGGGCTTTCAGAAAATATCAATCCAAAGAGATTCGGTCACCAAGTGTAAGATGACCAAAATAGACAAGCACCAGACCTTTTGTTATCTTCGAAATAATTCGTCGCCGTTTTCACGAACCGGCACAGCCCAACGCGCAACGAAATAAGTACATTCTGAGAAAAACGCGTTTTACGTTTAGCCCGTTTTGAATTCGCCAGAAACATGCCTCATGTCAAATTTTATATCACAAAATACATATCAATGAAAGGAAAATATTCTGTATTTTCTATACATTCCATTTGTTAAGCATAATGACAATTACTATTAATATTACGAAGCTTTGGACTCTCGTGCCGGTTCGTGAAAATATTATTTTGCTGTTTACGTAGCAAAAATATTTTCACGAACCGGCACAAGCCACTGTGTCGTTTTTCCTATGTAACTTTACGCGCAAGACAAAAGCGCTCGCGCTGTCTTAGCGCGTATTTTATTTTCACGAACCGGCACAACCGCCTGTGTCGCGTCGTCTAGGTCTTGTAAGCGCAAAGATATTTTCACGAACCGGCACAGCCCATTGACTTATAACGGCGCGTGCCGGTTCGTGAAAATATGAATCGTGCTTTTTGGCTCGTGTGTCGTTTTTGTCATTTGTGTAACCATGGATATCTCAAAAACTAAAGCGTTTTGGATGCTGAAATTTGGTGAGATGAAAGATTGTTGATAACTTATGCTAAAAATGCAAACAAAATAAAAACTACATTTTGAAGGGATTTCGGTGGCTTGTGCCGGTTCGTGAAAACGGCGACGAATTGTTTACAAAATGAAATTAGAAAAAAAAAACAGAAGAAAAAAAGAAGGCGTAAATAGGTATCGTGGGGGCACTGCATGTCCCCCTGCAATGCCCAATCTAGCCTAAAGTAGCAAATGGACAATACAAAATGTGCTCCTCACTGTGCAATATATTTAGACTACAAAGTCACCTGAAATACGTAACATTTTTGTTGTTCCTTTGCTTGTTTGTTTGTTTACTTGTTTCCTTATTTGGTTTGGTAATTTGTTGCTTTAATTTCAAGAGTATCTAGCGAGCGGCCACTGACAAACGAGGTTTAAAAAACCCAATTAATATAGTACACCCCTGAAATTGTCATTCGCTTTACTATTCCTGACCCTCGGAATTCGAAATACACCGATAAACTTTCACTCCTAGGATGGCCGGGGGGGGGGGGTATTTATATTTATATTTATATGGATTGTACACGCTGCACAGGACGTCGGAGGTGGATCCGGGCTGCACATGCCATGCAATAGCTATTGTGGTATACCCTATTTTTAAATTTTATATTATATATATATATATATATATATATTTTATTTTAAATTTTCTTTTATCATGACAAGGCTATTATCGCTGCAACTGTTCCTCACTTTTCCTTCAAATGCTAAGATTTTTTACGCTACGCGCACAGTGAGGAATTCCACCTGTAACGCAAAATACGCGGAAATATAGGGGCAAAACGTATCTATTAAGTATTATCACTAATTAAACTGCACATGCGCGTAGGGCTCAAAACATGCATAAAGAGCTAGAGGAGCTCCGTAGCACCCGTAACAGCTGATTAAAATCGTGAAAAGAACGAAAGATTTGATTGGTGGAGCGAAGAACCCTTGCAGAATTAATGTCTCATATTAGAAAATCCTAAGTTCTTGTATTTACATTAATAAGCTGTATTCAGGGGTACATATTTGTTGACATTTTATGTTAAGGTAGTACAGATATAGAATAATTCTGCCTTCAAAAGTAAAACATGTGTGTTAAGTCATGAGCCCAATAGCCAATGGAACTCGCGCTCTCATCAGCTGTAGACAATAACAATGTTAAAGGCCCTGCCATATTCCCATAGATCTACATAACTTTGTTATGGTCATTGTTATGGTTCGTGAGTTAATGTGATGTTCAGGCATACTGTTCTAACTTTAGTCACCTTGCATTTGCCCTGAACAGCGCAAATATGACGAGTAGTGTGAGGAGTAGAAGTGAGGTGAGTATAATAATTATAACATTTAGTGATAGTGGAGTAAAAGTGGAAATTGAAAGAGTTGACCGTCGAATGATGTCTGCCGACGACGATTGCCGACTAGGCCGAGCAGGGGCATGTATGTAAGGCTGCGCCTGCTGACGGCGCGCAGTGCAGTGCAATGCCAATGGCGAAGAAATATAATGCCTGTGACTGTGTACGTGTGCATGTGTTTTTGTCTGGTCAACATTTATGTTGTGCTACGTCTGTCTGAGAAAGGAAAGGGAAGTAGATAAATTTATAAAGTTACTTCTTCGATCACCATCACCATGATGAAAATATGACATGTTCTTCATGGAAATTGTCTAAATTGCTCATGATTTATTAGACCGAATTTTCCGTCTCTTTCGTTCGTTAGCCTCTTATTGGGGTAGGGTCGGCTCTCTCTTTAGAGACGGAAGCCGTTTATACACATGTCCTTGCTAACGCCACGGCCAGTTCTGGTCGTAGCGTTTTGCCCCCAAAATCCCCCAAAATGTCATTTTACCTCGAGCATGTTATATTGTAAATTAGGCCTAGGCTATAATAAATCAGTTCCACTTACCAACTTGACTGAAATAATCAGTTTAATAGTCCCTTTTTAGGAAATTATGGGTCAAAATCGGAATCCATGTTGAAAAAGATTTTCAAAATGGATTTCGATTTTGACCCATAATTTCCTAAAAAGGGACTATTAAACTGATTATTTCAGTCAAGTTGGTAAGTGGAACTGATTTATTATAGCCTAGGCCTAATTTATAATATAACATGCTCGAGGTAAAATGACATTTTGGGGGATTTTGGGGGCAAAACGCTACGACCAGAACTGGCCGTGGCGTTAGCAAGGACATGTGTATAAACGGCTTCCGTCTCTAAAGAGAGAGCCGACCCTACCCCAATAAGAGGCTAACGAACGAAAGAGACGGAAAATTCGGTCTAATGATTTATATGACACTTGTGAACATTTGTTTGAACTTCCTAGCAATTATAACCCAGCAGAATAGATTAAGTTAGTAACGGTAAGAATTAAGAAATGTATAGATTGTAACTTCATATTATGGTGGGTGTAGAACCTGAAATACAGAGGAATCTAGTGTAACGTTAGAAGAGTGAATTCTGCTACAATAACACAGGTGCCTGAGGCATGAGGCAAAGATTCCTGCTTCTTTTTCCTCCTGTGGGTGTCGGAGACAACAGGGCAATTCCACGGTAACGGAAGGACACTCAGACAAGATTTTTGAACTTCAGGTTCATACTAAAAGAAATGTTTTATAGTATGTATTAAACTATGGGGAACAAAATGTGTTTCAGTCAATTGGGAAGCTTCATCACCTTCACAAAGTTTGGATAAATACTAATTAACTGGAAAAACCATGTCCATTTTTATGTCCTTCCGTTACCGAGATAATTAATATGCACATTCTTAAACTACTTAACTATAATGACAATTTTTTGTGTGAAAATTAAAGGCACTTATATAGGTATTATATCTGTACTGTTTCACATCTTATACTAATAAAACAGTTCTTTTAGTATGAACCTGAAGTTCAAAAATCTTGTCTGAGTGTCCTTCCGTTACCGTGGAATTGCCCAACAGCACCTGAGGAGACAGAAATTTTCGGTCTACCGCCTAGAATGCATGATGGGCTCTACTTGGATTCTTGCTACATCATATATGTTGACTTAATGATGGGGGTTTCTAGAAGAAGAAAAAAATACTCCCCCACAAGGGTGGATTCCAATAAATGACTGTTTTGTGAGATGTGCACTTGGTTTTTCTAGGCCAGGTGAGGGTAGTGTCAGATTGTATGTATTTCACTATATGTACATTTAAAGTGAACATAATTTTGAAAAAAGATCCCATTCCTGCATAATACTACTTCAGCTGCACATGCTGCATGATTCAGAAGAGTATCACGCATGAATTTGTTCAGAGCTAGAAGGTCGTTTAAACTCTGTGTCCAAATTCATGAGTTAATATCCTCCTTGCTCGATCTGAACAGCGTCAGCAGTCCTGAAAGCCAGCCTTGTCCTTTCAGTCATCAAATGAATCTTCTTCTTCCATTTTGAGTACATCTGTACCTCTTTACAGAGTAATATCGTACTATACTGTGGTATGTGCTGGTGGATCACTACTCTGCACGAATAGTGCAGTGGGTTCTTAACATGCAAAGGTAGTGACTCTTCTCTACACGGGGCCTCCATTTAACATCCTATTCGAGGGACGTAGTGTTTTTCAGGCTATTTGAGGCTCTTATGTGACCAATAGTGGATATAGTGGATATATTTTGGCACCCAAGATACACGACAGACCTGAGGCTGAGGGAGATCAAGAAAGTGCAGAGATGAGCAACATAGCTAATTCCATCTGAAGCAATGTTAGACTATATGGGAGCAGGCTTTGAGCAATAAAGTTACCATCCCTCCAGCACAAAATGAGAAGAGGTGACATGATCCAGAGTCTAGACTTATAAGGATGAGGATAAGTTCTTCTCAACTGTCACCGTTGAGGCAACTCTAGGTCATCAGCATACAGAAGTGTGAGGTGATCCTGTTGAAACTACCGGTCGTTTTATCGAGTGGTGCTTCATTCTAACCTGAACTATTTTTGCTTGCATGGTGAGTGGATGCACATATTCAATTTTATGGAAGCGTTTGGTGCTGAGACTGAGAGGACCAGTGCTTGTCCAATCTAATCTTGAAAGAAGTCATCCATTCAAACTCTTTCAGAAAAGTAGCAAACTGGACGTGAGAGCAAATTAGAGAGGTGATTGACAGGAACTCTCCTCCAACTGAGGTGAACTCTTTCAAAGCCAGGCTTGACAAATATTAGTGTGGTGAACTATATATGCCCACCCTTTGGAGGATTAATTTAACATTGAAGCACTGCATGTGCACATTACATCTGACACTGTCACACGTCATCAGATTAAATTATTGGAGAAGGAAGATAGACCTGAAAACTCAACTGCAGGGCAGCATTTAATGAAACCGTCAAAAGTTCAAGTTAACCAACATCCTATTGAAATATGTGTATTAGTTTAACACACGTTTCCACAAGATGTTGTTGTATTTCTACTTATGAAGGTTTCATGAAACGATGCCCAGATCTCTGCATTTTCAAGTACATCCGATAATAAGTTAATTGAGTCTCTACACTATATAGTGAACCTGGTATCCACAGAAAGACAAGTGTTTTTAATTGCCAATGCTTTGTTGTAGTTTCCATAACAAACCCATTAAAATATCACATTCACTGCTTAAGCTGCACATGCAAAATAACATGGAAAAGTAAATACAATACATCCATTACGTCATTGCCCTACAGAGGATCAATTTTCAAAATGGAAATTGAAAAAAACTTTCCAAAATGATACTTAGTGTGTAACAAACAATTGGTACAAAGTAGTATGGTAAATGTGTATGCATCCAGGGAGGTCAGATCCAAAGGTCATCTTGAGTAAATTCAGCTATTTATAGAGATGATGCCCTGTACTGTTGCTAATGTACATGTGGATTAGGTCAGGAAACCTTTTTTAACTGAACATTACTGAACCAATGATAAGAAATGCATCTAACAATGGTTAAAACATTCAGGTTGCGTGTTCAGACATTTAGAAAATGCAACACTTCTTGCTACCGCAAATACGGTATTTAGCCTGTACATTTGGGAGGGCAGCACCTGCCATGGTTATATATTTGGCAAAAGCAATCCTGGTTCCCATACAAGTACAATGCATACAATCACTATGGAAGCCGGAAGAAACCTTGTCTTTATCATTTTCCCCAGTATTGTATCTGCGCATGTGCTGATCTGCGCAGTGTAGGAGGAAGGTCGCCATCTACGGTTGAACACCCTATTTGCGGTAGGGAGAACTGTGCTTCGGTTTATTTCATCAAACGGCAAAACTTCACAGGAGATTTAGATTTAACCCATGGTTTAAACCCTTATTTACATAACCCATGGTCTGAAATTAGCGCAGAATAAGCACGAAACAGTCAGATGTCCAATATGTCCAAGGCAAGGTATGCTTAATTTGCGCTAATTTTAAACCATGGGTTATGTTAATGAGTGTTTAAAATATGGGTTAAAGTTAAACCTCTTTTGTTAATTCGGGCCATAGGGCTAGGGTTGCAGTTGGATTTTAGGGGATGTTAAGATTAGGGTCACATGTACATGTACATGTAACTGTTTTTTTTTGTGGTCCGGGTTGAAGTTAAAAATGTGTGTAGTATTGAGAGTGGAGGAATTGTTGAAGTATGTGTCGTACAAATCTGAGTTAAAGGTAAAGACCAGTTATGGTCATGCGATTGCATTGTGAAAGAAACGTTGTGGAATCGATCAGAAAAGGTTGATCATCTAGCATCTAGCATCTGCAAGGTTCTGGAATCATCAAAATGATAAGAAATTTGGCCAATTCTTCGTAAAGTTACAAGGACTATACACAGAAAGATGTATATGGGACTACCCTATATCTCTCACAGACCATGAGAGAAACAAATTTAGCAAATATATGAATTAGTAGGCGGTTTCCCGGCAAATTTTTTATCATCATGTATTAGTCAAAACATATTCTTTCACATGATTGGTAATGAGAGCTTCCATTTCATTTTTTGAAATTGGGGCGTTTCCAATACTGGTCTTTACCTTTAATTCAGTTTTGAAGTGAAGAAGGGCTGTACTGTAGTATGTACACCTACAAATGTACTCAATCAAAAGAGCGTCCAATAATGATAATGGTTTTATAGCCAGCATACTTGCACATGCATTTTGTGTAGACAGCCCTACCGTGCATGAACATTGGTATGCCAGCCTTCTTATAAGTACCGGTATAAGCTTCACCAACGTATATACAACATAATTAATGTCTTTGCACAGGACATCAGTGTCACAGCTGGGACCTGAACCATGGACCATGTGATCTACATGTACAGTTTAGTGACTTATTCACTAGACCACAAGACCTCTACATACCCTGAAAACT